CAGGTTTATTATGAGTGTCTTGTCATGACCTTGTCACTACTTTGTTGAGGTTAGGCTCGACATTTACAGAGTACATGAGCTCGATTGTACTTATGTTTTACTTTTGTTGTTCTTGTGCAGATTTCGGTGTTGGTCCTAGCAGCGTGTAGCGGACCAACATCGAGCAGTCGAATCCGAGTATATCATATAGTAGTTGAATTCAAGCAGTCTCCGCTATACACGGTTAGTACCAACACCGAAGGTCCCCCATCGTAAATGCGACATTTTTTTCGCAAATGCGAAAGGTCCGCCCATCGAAAATATGCCCAAATACTTCGCAAATGCGAAGCTGACAATAATTATCATTGGTCGGTAATGCGACCAAGATATTTGCAAAAGCGGCCGCCAACACTTCGCAAAAACGAACATTTTCCTCGCAAATGCGAGGTCACCCAGCCCAGGCCCATGCTCGCAAATGCGATCTCTTGATCGCAAAAGCGAGGCTTGCAAATGCGAGATCTGCAGTAATGTACCAGCAGTAGCAAACTATCCCAAGTTCATCCGATACTCACCCGAGCCCATCGGGCTCCAAAGCAAACATGCACACAAGTGTAATAACATCTTATCAGAATCATCAAAACACCGATCTGAGGTCGTTTACCAAGAATGTTGACCATGATCTACTCAAGTCCCATTTTAAGCCTAAAATTACTATTTCTTCCAATTTTTACGTAAAAAAAATTTCCAGAAAATGACACGGATCACGCACACAAATCGAGAAATATCAAATGAAGCTAATAGAGATTCCGAAACATGAAAATAAAGGCTAGTACTCAAAACGACCTATCGGATTGTCACAATTAGTTATATACCCTATTTAGTATTATTCGCATACATTGCAAACCACGGCATTAACAATATCATGATTTTTAATATATGGAAAAGCATATATACAGACGAAACTGCCCTTTAAAAACCTTTTTTCAAATCTTTTCCACCGCAAGTAGAGGGTATTTTTAAAATATTAACACCTACTCGGTTTTGTGGAAAAAATAATCATTTCGGAACAAATAAAAACTGCTAAAAATCAAATAAAAGGGAATGGGGGAGGTACAATTTATGCCATTTTGTAGATTTCTAGAACTATCTTGAGCAAACAATAACTCTAATAATTAGTGCAAACATACAAGTTTTGGTACAAATATTATTATTCTTATGAATAATGCAATCATGATTTCTTAATTTTCATCAAGAAAGGAAGCCGACTTAGTATGAATTATGAAATTACACTTTACTTTAAGGATATAACTTCAGTTACGTACATAATTGTTACTATTATAAAACACTAGTTTAAGATATGCACGTTGTGCGTGTATTTTTATCTCTATGAGAACAAATTTTTAAATTTTTTAATTAAATTTCTTATTGAATCATGAAATATATGTCAAGAAAAAAATTTAAGTCCCTAAAATTGATGATTCTTGATTTTATTTTACTACTCAATAAATGAAGAAACTTTGTTCGACATGAGTTCTTAGTCATCTCAGTCAATATATTTAACATAAAGTTTATTTAAGATTTATAATTTTATTACTTTAATTTTATAAGTTATGCATCCTTTTTAGTTTTAACAAGATCATATAACTTTGAAGATTTAGAATTATTATATTTATATTTTCAAAAAGTTATATATTCTTGTGTTAATTCTAAAAAGTCATAAACATGACATCATCTAACTAACATCAGACGTTAATACTATTCTCGAAGGAGTAAAAATATGAAATTCATGTAAAAATCAGAATTAGAGTTTATTTTTCAATCAATTCTCAGGGATTTAGTGTGAAAATTCTTGTGTTTGTATAATCAATTTTTATATTTTAGTTGGGACGTTTTAAAAGTTAGTCTAATTTAATTCAAAAAGAACATTATAATTGTTTTTAATATATTTTCATGAGAAAATTGCTACCAAAATAATTTTCTGATTTTTTGTAACCAATATTTTTATTTTGTCATGTTTATTAGCGTGCTCATAATTAAACGGCCAAATTAAAAAACCAAAATTGGCATTCCTAATTTTCTCCTAGCAATGTATGTGCACGTAGTATAGAACATACTACTCCATTCAAATTTGGTTTCAGCCTCATTCAACGTAACTCTCTAAAAAAATATTTAAAAAAAGTTGTGTAAGACTATAAATATTTAATTAGAATTAAAAGCTAAACTGGTAATAACATGGACCGTCGTGTGAACAACCATGGTTATATTTTTTCGATCTATATAAAATAACTTTTTAATTGATTTTAATGTCCTCAATATTCATATTTTCTACTTCTTCTCGTACCCTCTAAAGCCAGCCGTTCACTTCTCCTTACCGGAGCAGTTGGGTTTCTCCTCTGTATGTGCCTGAACCATCTGAGCCCCGCTTCCCGCCTCTTGTCATCAATGGGAACCACGTCTGCATTCTCCCCAATATCAGCATTCTTAATCTTGTGCCTGCACATTCACCTCAACATCCTCATTTCTGTTACATTCATCTTTTGGAAGTGTGAGTTCTTAACAGACCAACACTCAACCCCATACATCATGACCGGTCTAACCGCTTCTCTATAATATTTATTTAATACAAAAATATTATCAAATGTCTCCCGTAATACCAAAGTTTATATTTAAACTCATACTTGATATTTGCACCAATAAATGAATGTATTTGCATAAAAATATTTACTCTCATCGTTTCAATTTATGTGAATCCATTTTAAATAACACATATAAAAAAAAAAACTTTTGAAATTTATGATTTTAAGTAAAGTATAACATTTGTGTGGCTATAACTTTCTTTAAACTTGTGGTGTTAAATATTTTTAAATTTATAAAATAATCATTATTTTTTAAACATGCTAATAAGAAAATAAATTCACATAAAATAGAATAAAAAGAGTATAAAATAAACCTCTCCTAAGTGATATTATTATTTTAATTTGTAGCTTGTTCAAATATTTGGTTTAAGGGGGGGGGGGCAAATAATTTTTCTTAGCATGTTTTAATATCCAAGGGTCAAAGTATGCTTAAGTAGGTAATAACCACTAGTCCTAAGGTCTAGAGAAAGAACAAGAAGGAAAGTGACCTTATCTGTACTTAGCTGCACAAATTACTCCAAAGTAGGAATTGCAATAAGCAAAATGGCTGAAAGCTGCAGTCAGTCAAGTACTTTTGCTTTTGTTCTTCTCATTTACTTGCCTCTTTCCTCTCCCATATTTGACTATAAAACACGCTATTGTTCCCTGTTGATGCTCCTACTAAAACACCAAAATCGTGCCAAGGACAGAGTTGTTTGACAAACCAATTAATGCTTTCCTATTTCAATGAAAGCATCCTACTTCCTTACTATTTCCTTTCAGTGAAAATATGCAGTATTTGAACTACTCGACACTGTTAAAGATTTGGTGGGGTTGAGGGATTTGGTCTATAGGACAGAGATATCATCCTCTCACGTTAACTGCCATTCCCAGCTTTGCTTATTTTTGTTTTGACTATTCCTATTTTAGCTAACACACAATACCTGTACCATATAATATCACTATCTCTTTCAAAAAGTAACCAGCTGCATGCTCTTTTCCTTTCTCTCAAGTCTGAACTGAACAAACAGGAGGATGTCTTTGCCCGTAGTTGATGCTGGACAAGGTCCTCCTTTTTCTCTTGTAGAGTTTGCATTGGAAAAAGTCTTTCTGGTTTCATTTTGAAACTTGCTTTTTGGTTTGACTTCTGTAAGAAAAACAACAGCGCCTCAATATTTAGGAGTTGATCCAAGATTTTCCATTAATCTTCTATGTTTATCAAAATTGAACACTTTTTATCTTTTACATTCGTCAAAGTTGAGCACTTTTAATCTCCCATTATATTTAATTAATACACACAAGCACAACAATAGTTATCTTATGCTGAATTAGCTCATTAAGAAACACATGAACTGCTTCAAAGAACCATTGAGGCGCATTTCTTATGATTCATTTCTTCCCAGTTGTATCGTAAGAAAAACCTTAGTCCAGCAAATTCAACCAACCATACGCTTCCCTTTACTTAATATTTTATGAAATAGCGAATGAATCAATTTTTATATCTTTTTTGAACCTTCACTAGCATCATTTTTTGTCGAGATCCTAAAGTTAGCATTTTTCTTTAAAAATATGAATTAAGAGAAATAAATCCGGAAGAAATCCATTCCAATAGTTTTTTCAGTTCAAACTCTCATGTGCTTCTCACAAGTCGTTTCCGTCAAAAGATTACTTCGGCCAGATTTTCGTCACCCAGTATGCTCAAGCCTTTGCTCGCATTTGGATATAGATTTAACCGAAACTTAAAAAAAAAATTAAATTTGTGTTAAAAAAAATAATTTTTTAAAATTAAAATTATATTTGAACATGCATTTTGTTTGAATTTTTTTTTTGAAATTTTGTGAGTTCGAGAAAAATTGTCATCATAGGAACTTCCCTAAACCAGATTTCGGGAAGTTAAAAAAAATTAAAAAACTGATCATATTCCATGAACAAACAATATTTTTTAAAAGAAAAAATTGAAAAAAAGTTGTCAAAATCTATGACTAAATGGGAGCTATATCTAAAAGAGTACTACAACAACATAACCAATATTATACCACGAGAGAGGGTAGTGTATACGCAAACCTATACCCTATATCTAAAGGACTTTTAAATTAATTCCCTAACACAAGTAATTTTGTCAATTCCTCACTTTCGAAAAACAGCGTGCGTTAATGGTTTGACCGACTTTTTCTTGCACTTTGAATTATTTTCAAATAAATCATACTGTAAATATTCAAATGCCAGTTGCAAACTCCGCTACTAAGAGGAACGAAGGATCTCAAGTGTCCGTGGAAATGAAACTATGTACGACTTTATAATCAGTTAACAATTCTTTTCCTCTGCTATGAAACTCCATTTGGAAAAGGGTTGACATAGCCTAAATTCTGGTTAGATTATCACATATGCAAGCTTTTCCAAGACTGCTATTTGAAAATTTTCTGAATGACGATTGTCAAAAATATCAAGTAAATTAAAGTCACTAAGCAGTTATCTTAGTTACACCCGAAACATGATTCCAACAAGCAATAAAAGAAAAACAAACTCAAAAAACCTATGACAATAGATTCTGGTACTATGGCTTCAAAAAAAACTGAAGAAAAGGATCTTAAGGAAAGTCAGGGGAAGCTTAATGTCCTGGAAGTGCCAGAAATACCTCTCAAGCCGCTGTCTGTCATCTCAGATTCTCGATGAAGCTACTCATTTCTGAGAACATTCCAAAACCAAACTCCATAGTTCATTGATGCTGTAGTAAAACGTAAGCGAAATTCAGCTTAGTTAGTTTTCTTTTCGTCTTCTTTCAGTGCTAAAGTTTCTGAACTACTAGAAGCTTGATCCGTATCCTCCCCAGCGAAACCAAACTCATTGACTCGTTTCTTATCCACTGGATAAACCCATCTCTGATATAGGTATATTAAAAATATAAGATCTGCATGGCAAAGACAGATGAAGCATTAATAACCCAATTGGATGAAAGCTAATGCATATAATAGAACCACACAAATGACCACAAAAATTAGTGGCTCAACTATATCAATTAGGCTGAAGACAAATGTAAAAGGAACAGTAGCATCCAGGCAATGTCTGCTTACTGCTCCTTTGGTTTTCACAAAAAACAGTATTACAAAATGGTCAACTGAATCCAACATATAAGCTGCTACAATCAAATAACCAAGGTCATCGTTTATAATGGTTAAAGATTGCTCGAGCTTCTGTTAAGATGTCTATAGCAACCAGTATTGAAGTCTCAACAGTGAGAACACAGACTTAGCATCTTAAAAGATGTTCTTATCTAGCTGGTCACTTGATTAACCAAGAAAGTCCCAAGACCTTGGCGTTGGTGTCGTAATAGAGAGGTCAAAGACGGTCAATGAAACTCTCAAAAGAGTCTGTATTATGTTCTATGGCTTTGAGTTTATGAAACAACATTACAATTCAAAGTAACAGGCAAAACTGGCTTGGATTCCAACGGTCAGAGGAGAAAGGCCGCTACTTAACCAAATAAAAACAACCGATCAACTACAAAGAATATTATTTCAAAAACTTACCATCACGGAACACAGACAGGCGATGTAGCAATGGCATTTTTATTACAAATGCAAACAAATCATCAATAATGGTATTGAGAAATTTGTAAGTCATCTGCCTCCAAGGTAAATGAGCAACAGACTTCAGCTTATAATTGATGAACAACTGGGGACACATCATAACAAAACCTGCAACAATAAGAGTAGAAAATAATAAATTACCAAGAAGCAAAGTGATAGGAGTATATGCTATCAGAAGTCCTTGCTTTAAATGTTTTTAAGAGTACATGCTTCTAGAAAGTGTGAACTGTGCACTTATGGAAATTGTACTATCAGTTGCAAGATGATCTGAAAATGTTTATCACATTGTTCAACTGATGCGAGGCTTTGAACTACATTACTGAGATCCTAAATACCTAAAGATAAAAGATGAAAAGACCAATAGAAACTTACCGAACATATAGACGCAGCTTGTCATGGATGAGAGGATCCACGAGTACCAACTCTTGTGACGTTCATACATTAGAGAGTATATGGAAAAGCACACGACAAGGAAGAACAACACATAGGACAAATACTTCATGGCAAGATCATCATATTCTTTCGTCTTATTTCCAGCATACGATTCCCGATCTCGGAACCTCAACATAGGTATTCTACCAGATCTGTCAATCTAGAAATCAAGGACAATTAACAATAGAACTGTTGGCGGTTTGAATTTATGCTTAATCAATCACAGTATGTAAAAAGAAGGTAGCAACAATGAAGAAGACATTAAGAAGTTTGAATTCTCAATTTCTAATCTCCAATTTAGTTATAGTATTCTACCCCCTAAGCAACTCACATCTTCCAAGTACATCAAACTAAACTAAGCGAGAACCACACAAGAAGCAATCATATAAGATAAGTAGCCCGATCATGATGACATAAGGAACAGTAAATCTCTCTCTCTCTCTCTCTCTCTCTTTATATATATATATATAAAGAGAGAGGGGGGGGGGGGGGGGGGTTTGCTAACCTACTACATAGTTCTAGTAGGATAGCAATGCACGCACATTTGATTTGTCTTAAATACCTTATTAGCACACTGACAAAACATTAATAGGAGGGGCTTTACTGTCTTTTTACCAAAATCTAAACATGGTTGTCCTTTTCCTTTCTCTTTTCTGTGTCTCCCTCGTCAATGGTGACTGCCCAAAATAACAAACATAAAATTGGGAAATAAATTAAAGACAAACAATAGTTTCTCTTTTCAGAACCATTTGGCTGACGGGAATATCTTTTTATTGTTCTTTCCTGCTCTTTTAGAACCACTAGTTTTAACGCCAACCTCCGTGGAAGTGTTATTGGAGGAATTGTTATTGGGCTTTGAGGTATTCAAATCAGATTTGAAATTAACATTTTTGATGTTTTGAAGAAGCTGAGGAAGAGCAAAGCTTGTGGAGTGGAACTGATATGAGATTGGAATTGGAGATGTCGGATAATGGGTCTCTTTCTTGTTCAAGGATTTAGAGTTGTTTGGGTATTTCTTTGAGTAGCCACATCAATCTTCTCTCTTTTCCGCTTTCGCCGTAAACGACAGCGAGAAGTAAAAAGAACAAGAGGGGAGAATATATCTGGGTTTAAGATTTGATATAAAGACAAAAAAGCCCCTAATCATTATGCTTGTTTAATTTGTTGTCAGGGGCATTTAAGGCAAACCAAATCTGCGTACATTGCTAACCTACTACAACCATGTTAGTAGGCTCCTGTGTGTGTGTGTGTGTGTGTGTGTGTGTGTGTGTTTCTCCTGATTACTAGTCAATGAACATAGTAAATAAGAAAATATTTCGGAGGACTGAGATGCTCAATAAGATTACCGAAAAAAAGGGCAGGAAATATCAATAAAATTTTGCCTTGAACTTCCAATCACTCTAACTGTCTAAAGCAAATAGAGGAATGAACTAACGGCCAAGCACCAACATGAAATTAGAAGACTTTATTACAATGACGCCAAATGACAATTAAAGAACTGAACAAAAATTCATCTCTATTATTAGTGATCATACCTCAATGTGCATCGCCTTCCCTATTTTCCAGAACTCTATACAACAACCAATACCAGAACTTGCAAGTATCATCCATGAAGTATCATTATCAAGCAAGTACAGGAAGACAATGAGCTGGCAAATAAAGTTCACTATGACTGATTTTGCAGACAACCCTTCCATGGATTTGTTTTTATTCCAAAATTGAATATCTGCAAGGAAAGAAAACATATTTATTCTGAATCCGATCTACTGCACGCTTCCTGTCATTTCCTAGGAAGGCCCAAATGCTCAAAGCAAAATTATATTTACCATTCTTGAACGCCAAGAAGTCAAATACTGAATGCAGTAGTGAGACCATCATGGTCACTCCCAAAAGGTATGGATTTCCTTCCAAAAAAACTCTCTGGAAAAAGTGCAATAAATCACGTGACAAACACATATATAATAGTTGAATTGTGTGACAATAATGTATGTTGATAAAATTTCACACCATGACCACAATGATCTAAAGCAGGACTCTATACGTTAGTTTTAACTTTTGGAGTTGGAAATTTTATAGATATTTACTGGACGCAGACATGCAAATTGGTACTAATAAAAGAAAGAAGTATAACAAAGTAAATTCAGATAGAAAAAAAGTATGCATATTCTAGGTAATAAACAGAATATACACAGATAATGTACTTTTCCTGGTTTTCCAATTTTTGCAACATCTAGTATATTCTTGAGTAGGGGTGTACATGGACCAGGTTGGTTCGGTTTTTATCAAAACCAAACCAAACCAACTATATCGGTTTGGATTGGTTCGGTTTTGTCGAATTTTTCGGATTTTTCGGGTTTTTTGTTACTTAAATATTATTTCAATCTTACTTTGTTAAATTTTTGATAAGTAAATATATGTTTAGTAAAAATATAAAAATTTGACAAAAATTATCTATTAAAATATTTTGTGAGAGAATTTTCTTAGTAACATATATTAGTTATTTTTTTAGTCGTCTGATAATAATGTTTCGTTGATGTACACTTTCAAGGTTAACCGAATTTAGTAATTAAACATAAAAATTAAAATGATACCTAAATAATAATAATAATAATAATCACTTTACATTCGAAAAAGATATAACAATTCAGTAGATCTTAACATATGATACGAATATGGAAGAAGAAAGAGATTGACGCATTTCAATAACACTTGATGAGAATAATAGGTTAATAAATATGGAGCACTTCATATACTATTAAATATTATATCCCGCAAGATAATCCCAAATATTTCTAGATATTTTTTAAAGAAAACTCTATATAAAATCTTAAAAGTATATATAAAAATTACATATCTATATGTAGGCTTGGTTTGGATTTTTTTACTCAATACCAAGCCAAATCAAACCAAACCTAATCGGGATTTTTAGTCGGTTTGGTTTGACTTTTCGGTTTGGTGCGGTTTCCCGGTTCGGTTTGTACACCCCTATTCTTGAGCATTGTGGTGTCTGTATAATATTTACATTTATCTACACACTTTTCAGGCTCAACTACAAATCACTTGCATCTGGATATTTCATGTGCAAAAATGCTATGCCAATGCATACATAGTACCCCAGGAAAAAAGAAGTAAACTATACCTTTAGTTCATCAGACTCCCCCTCGAGCATGCTACCATAACTACGATGAACCTGGAAGGATTGGTCAATCTGCAGGAATAGCTGCCATTTTGTCATGCTCATGGGGCTCACCTCTAAATGCAGAGGCACCTCAGTTACTGATTCATTGAGAGCTATTAATTTATCCCTAAGTAACCAAAACTCATTGAAGAAAACGGTCGGATAGTAGTTTCCTGTTGTGGATTCGATATTCATATCTAACAAGTCAGGTAAAGGAATTCAACTGTGGGAAAATATCTTTTGCTAACAAGAAGAACAGATGAAAGATGCCAACTCACACAGAAATAAAATAGCAAAGAGAAGATAGGATTTAGCATGAAGGTAATCATAAACTTGCGTGAAACAAGTTTACCAATTTCTTCCACAAGTTTAATCGAGCTGCTTCTTGCGTACTGCAGAAGTATCTAATATTGCAGCTTATTTAGCACAGTACAGTGTGTAAAAGGAACCCACAAGAAGAATAAGACACATAGGCCATAAAACCAAGGATACAAGGAGCAACAATAGGTGGAATCGCATTTCCAGTGTATCTGCAAAAAGGAAAAGAGCAAAGAGTGGAAAAAGAAAGAAGAAAAAGAACTGAATGTTAGAATGTATACATTAGAAGGAAATACAGTTAAACAGATCAGAAAGAGAGGCAAGTATGCATACCTTGTAAAATCATCGACCAAGTTGATTGTAACATTAGGTTTCCAATATGAAATCCACTCAACAGGAGCATCCTCCTTATCATCTTGTGCTTCTTGAACTGCCTGAGAAAACTGCTCATCATACCTCATGATCATATGGAATTAAAACCTTATATGGTGACGAAAGGAACGATAACTCATATAGGAGCAAACAAAATTTATTACACCACAATGTGAAATAGTCAAAACAGTCATTATGCTGGCTCGGGAGTTGATGTCATCATGTGAAATAGTCAGAAAGATTATTCTGTTGGGTGGGATCCGAAGTTAAGAATCTAGAGGGTATATTTGAGGAAAACTGAGATAGGGAAAAAATTACTCAGGCATTAAATGCAGAAACTAAAGATTTGATGCTTAAGCCATAAAACAAGCCCACAGATACTGCATACGCACACACTCCAACTATAAAAAACACAGGTGTACCTCAGGAATGGTAAGACCCTCATTTGAGTCCTCAGAATTTTTTAAAAGGCTCTTCTTCTTGTCTGCTTTAGATTTGGGCAAATATTTCACAACAGCTGAGTTCACAGAAACAGTACATTAGAATTAGGTACTTAAGGAATTCCACCTTCTACCACCATAGGTAAGGACAAAAACTTCACAGATAATATGATCTTACAATATGTCTGACCAAAAGCAGCCAATGGCTGATACTCGGGATCATTTGGATCGGGTGAATACCCAGAACGTGCAAAGAAAACATGAGCATATAGACTCCCATTATGCTTCACTGCCTGAGGAAAAATCATAGGCAACCAAGTAAAGATGAGTACTGTGCCACAATAAAAGTGCAAAACAGGAAATGCACATGCATTCAAAAGCAAAAGACAGTATCCTGAATCAATTTTTTCTTCTAATTGAATAAGACACTTCAAAAGGCAGTTAATGGTACCTCGGATGGATTATACTTCAAAGAAATAGACCTGGTACTTTCTGGTCCCCAAACTNTTTATTTTCATTGCATAATGACAGACTTTTCAGTTTTTATAAAGTTTATGTTATTTTATTAGCAAATGGATAAAACGGAATAGCATTATGTAGGTACATAAGTTTGCTATTATCTGTGAATGACACTATTTGAACTTCTTTTATGCGGTAAACGCCAAGCGCCCTAAAGCCACTCCCTTCCTAAGCCAGCATTGGTTTTTCCCACTCTGCGCACTCCCAGCCTCTTGGTTGTAAACGGAATGTTCTTACCACTCGAGCAAATCATTTTGCCAATGATGCTAGTTCAATGTTTAAAGAAACAGTAGTGGATAACAGCTTGCTATAGGATCCCCAGTGATAAAATACAACCACAAGACAAGAATCTATTTCTCTCTCCCTCTTTTCTATCATTCTCTACTTAAGTCTTTTCTTTAGGCATGGGCGAAGAGGGGGATTACTGAGGTAGCAAACTCATAAGAATTTCACGGGACAAGTTCATATCAATCGCAATTGCAAACAAAACAAGTACTTGTCCTCGATCTTTTTTATATAATCAAAAAATCCCCAAGGACAGTTGATGCACGGTACGAAACTCAGTATATAATGGGCTTGTCCTCTACCGTCTCCACTTAAATACCAGGATTTTGCAAGTGGCGTGGTTCAAACTTTACTTGTCCTTTGATCTTACAGAATTATATCCATCAATTAAAATATCTTTTGCCGTGAATCATTTTTCACATTGGGCAAAAAGCACAGCTTAGCAGCAACTCCATTATTTCGCACATCACATCCAAGTTTGCACATCACTCGATTCCCTAACTCCGTTTCCCAGGAAATAGTGTTCTATTTGCATCAAACTTCAGCTAAATATCCATACGCAAAATTAGGAAAATAAATGGTTGAAGATTGAAAAATACAAAGAATATTTGAAGTTGAAGTCGGAAAAAGGGTATTTGAAAGTTGGAAGTTGGGTATTAAACATGAATTTCAGTTGGGGAAAAAAAAAGGTGAAGTTTTATAAGTGCAAATCATATTTCACTTGAAGTACTCCTCAAACCAGTTTTACAAACTTCAAAATCTATAGTTCGAGTTGAAATTGAAATTCACCAAATTGTAAAACAAACACTGGTTTGATTTCTTCTTTTTTCAAAAATTCCAAATGTTATCTATGGACAAACAGCAAAGGTCTGTGTGGAGTACACTGGGTATGCTGTTGATGTTGTTGGTGGTGGACAAACCCATCTACGGGAATACCCTGGGTATGTTGGTGGTGGTGGACAAACAGCAAGTTACATGCAGAAAGGAGAAAGAAACTATCTTTCTACGTTCAGCTGTTGCTCAAAACTTAAAAATCAATCAGTTTCAGATTCACTGTTGTGTGCTCCAATTATCCCATTCGAAATCCATCAAGCAATTTCTTTTTATAACAAATTTGTTCACAATGTGACAGCAGCGGAGCTAGCTTGTGGCAAGGGGTTCAATTAACTGCGCACACTCCGAACCGACTACTACTATTTTCTAAATCCGCCTCTACTGTGAACTGTTAAACACCCATATTTACATGACCAGGTCACCTATTAGGTAATTATCAGTAAATAACCTAGTATCACAGTTACAATTATACAATCAGATGAATACTAGTAAGTAGAAATAGTATTCAAAGAGAGAGAGAGAGAGAGAGAGAGAGAGAGGGAAGGAGGACGGACCAAAGGTTCGCCTTTGTGGAAGAGATTGGAGATCTGGAGATTAGGAGCAGACGGATCGGAGGAGATTGGCTTTTTCGGCGAGAAAAACTTGGAAGCGAAGTACCAGAAAA